TTTTTGATGGATTATGGGAACACACATCCATGAGACCTTCTATGAACAGTTAAATTTTTTCATATTATGTGAGTTTTCAGAAAAGAAAAGGAGAAAAAGGCGGAATTTCAGCCAATCAAATTTTTACATAGTGCAAATTTACTATTTAGGATGTTGATCATTACAATATTTGGTAATTCCAAATTTGGAAAAAATCCTGACTGTAAAATGAGATTGTATATTCTGAAATGGAAGACCCAATTGAATTAAATGAGAAAATGAACAGTATAGAGAAATATGTAACCACAGTATTATATGAAAAGTATGTATTTATTAATAATTATGTTTATTTATATAATTGTTATCATTATTAGAATATTTTGCCCAAAATGGTCAGATGACAGTTTAAAAGATGAGGAATTAAATTCAAAAATATTAGCTTTAAATTATTTAAATCTTAAAGATCTTGGTATTGAACTTAATTCAAATCAACAACAAATAGTTGAATTGGTTGTTAAACTTTCATCTTCAGAATTAGAAAATTTAAACCAAAGAAAATCACCATTTGAAAAACTAGAATGTCTTATAAATTGCCACAAAATTATTAATGGTAATCTATTTCAAATTATTTTTTAATTGGAATTAATAATCAAATAATAATATTAACATTAATTATAGAAGAATTTGAAAAATCATCAATAAACTCTGATAATAATTCAATAGCACATCTAATCTTACCATTATTAATTCACATTATTATTAAATCTAATCCAAAAAATTAATTTCTAATCTAAGGTGAGTTTTAAATATTTATAAATGCTTATTATTAAACATTATATTATATTTATTTATTGAAAATTTTATATCTAATATAATATGATTATGTATGTGTTTCTCTCAAAAAAAAAATTTTTTATACAGAGATTTAGAGTAAGAAATTTAATAGATAATGAAATGTCATACTGTTTAACAAATATTCTAGCAGTTATTGGATTTTTAGAGACTGCTGATTACTTGGATTTAAACCAAATAACATTATTAACAGCAGTAATGATAGGAGGGTTGGGCATGAAATAGTTAAAAGTGGCTGATAGTGGTGTAAAAGTTATCACTGACTCATTTGATTCTTCTTATAAGTTGTTTGGTCATATTCTTGGATCAAATGATATATTTTTCAATAAGGACAATATTAATAATGAAAACAATAAAAATTTATTAATTAAAAATATAAAATTATAAAACACATAAAATAATAAAAACACATAATTCTTTGTAGTAAATACCCTGTCTAGAAGGTTTCTGTGGTTCATAAATAAACACTTTTTCTGAATTAAAGTATATATATATACTTGTATGTCTGCCAATTCCTTGGTAGACAATTACCTAAAAATTAATACAATGGAAAATCATGAAAACTCTGGAAGATTGCAAAATGGACTTGAAAATGTCAGTAATAATGATGTTGATTCTGATATGAATTTAGATCAAAGTGAAGATA